GCCCAGCAGCCCTGAGCATGCCCCTCCCACCCCCCACACCACTCGTTTATTTAGCACAGCATCGTCCTGGCCCTGGTTCAGAGTTGACATATACCTAGGGACAAAGGGTGGCAAACATAGCTGTGGCCGTGGCGTGGTGAACCGTCAGCAGGTGTCTTCAGTATGCAGCTCTGGAGTTACGGCCATCTCTTGTCATGCCCTGGCAGGACGTCTGCCTGGCACACGTTGGAGGCCACCCTAAATCTGTCCTAACTTGTTTCACCCAGAGGATTTTCCTGACCTTGGGGTTTGTGTCAGGGACACCGTTTCCCAAAGTATAATAGTGAAGATAGTTGGTATTTTCAGGTTAAAAATGTCGTCCAAAGAAAAATCCTTGACAATTTACTCTTACTACGGACAGTGTTGCTCCTGTGAGTTCCTGTTGGTCAGGCCCTCGGGCTGAGCTTGTCCTCAGGGAGATTCCTTTTCCATGTTGCTCCATGACTGCCCTTTGGTCTCTTCTGCCTTTACTTTCCACATGGTGCTCCTGGGTCATGTGCACCAGAAAAAGCACCCCAGCCCGCCCTCGACTCTGCTCTGGGGGGAGGAGTCAGGTTAGCAGAGACACAGTGAATTTACTCACATGCAGGTGGAGGATTTTTACATGGTTATAAATTCTAAAGTAAAATGAAGTGAAACAGGAATATGTGTGGTGTGTCTGTGTCTGTGTGTGTATTATATTCTCTATATATGCATGTGTATATTCTGTGATAAGGTGCCAAGTTATCAAGAAGGAGCGTCGCGGGCCTTCATGGGGCAAGGAAGGACGGCTTGGTCTTTACCCTGAGAGGAAAACATGGATTTCTCAGAGAGAGAGGGCTTGTCACCAGTAAACCTCCGTCTGGATCATTTCACAAATCATATTGCTCTGGAGCCCAGAAAAGGGAAGTCGCACTAGCTTCCTTGATTAGGGTTAGGGCCAATGGACGATCCAAGGGCAGGAGGACCGACTCTCATTGCCTGTGGCCTTCGTTTCTCTCAGCACAGTGGAGTTTGCGGAGTCTCAGAGGCGTTCCCTGAGCTCAGGGGCCCACTTGGCTGGACTTCCCCACACCAAGGCCACAGTCACCGGAGGACGCCTGCCTGGGTAGACACAGGCCAGTGCCTAGCCACCTCACAGTAGCAGATGGTCACAAGACTTAACAAGCAAATAATAATCATGCTTGTTATTGAATATTTGTGTCTAAGTTCAGTGCATTATGGTTTGAATGTTCCACCTTGTAGCTAGACGCTTAGTGGTTGAGTCAATATCATATGAATTAATACAATTGTATGATTATATTTTTGCCATTATCATTGGTAACCAAGGGAAACACATTGCCCAACCCATTTTTATTAAAGATTAGAATTAAAAAATCAGAACAAAAAAACAAAATCTTAGATCTCATATTATCTGGAAAGTTGGTGCTGATGTGTATTTCAAAGATCTCAACCTCCTTGTCATGTAAGTAGGATGTTTGTCGTCCTCATCCCCAGCAGGGGCCTTTAGGAAGGCTTCGATGCCTTCCTGCCTGTGTCAGGCCCCGCGCCCCGCCCTAGGTGCCAGAAAAGCACTCGGGCTCTGGGCTGTGACCCCAGAGCCTTGACCTGGGATGACGCTGTCTGCAGAAGGGTCAGTCCCAGCAGCCTCCTCAGGGCATGAAGACGTGCCCCACCAAGACAGTTCAGAGTGTCCTCCGTGGAGGGGTGGGAGAAGCCCTCAGAGTTCAGGGCAGGCGCAGGCCAGCTCAGCACGCAGTTGAGGTCTTCGGCACAGCATGACCCTGACCTTCTGAGTCTGTAGGTGGCTCGTCTCGCTCTTCTGACCTTGCTGGCTGGTTTGTCTCTTGGGCCACACCCGGCGCTGCTCTTGACCCTGCACTCAGGGATCACCCTGGCAGGCTCGGGGAGCCATACGGGTGCCGGGGCTCGAACCCAGGCTGGTGGCGTGCAAGGCTAGCACCCTCCGCACTGGGCTCCCACGCCAGTCCCTCCTGACTGGCCCTTCCAGGTCAGCCTCAGCCTCGCGGGCCTCCTTCTCTGGAACCCTGGGGACAGATACAGAGCACAGGGTTTTGATCGCCGAGGGAAGGGCAGGTGACAGCAGAGCACTGTCTCAGGGCTCCTTAAAACTGGAAACAGTAGAGGTGGCCCATTGTTCACAGCTGGCAATGAGATGCTGGCGTTGGGGACTCAGCCTCGCAGGCATTAGGGTCCCTAGGGGTTGTGGTTTTCAGCAGTTCTGACCACAGCCATGTTACCTGCATAAGAGCAGGGCCAGGAGGGTGTCTTCAGCCCAGCCAGAGCGTGGTGTCGGGAGGACCTGTTGGCTCACGTAGCATGGCAGTCACAGCAGGTCATACGGCCCGCTCGGGGGACTTCACAGGCTGAGTGCTGCAGGTCAGGGTCTGGTTAAGGGGGCTGGATGCTGAGAGCCCCCCATTTGGGAGCAGAGAGCGGCAGCAGGGCCGTGGGGCTCGCTGTGGGGTTCTGTTCTGAGGCTCAGGTTGTGGCCGCTGGTATTTATTTATGTTTGTTTCTTGAGCCTTCTCGAGGACTCCTGGCTCTGTGCTCTTGAGCCTCTGCTGCTGGCGTTCAGGAGGCCACGTGCCCTACTCCTGAGTTGCTCTCTGGCCCCCAGTTCCGGTTCTGATTCTTGGCCTTCCCTCTTCCCAGGAAATCCCCCTGCCCCCATATCTTTGAGGCTCTTTTTGTCACCCCTTTCCAGAGCGGGGCTCTTGCCAGGTCCTGACGTGTCTGCCCCAACTCTCCAAAACTACAGCTCGAAAGACCCAGCGGTGTGTCTGAGCCCCACTCCAGCCCTTACCCCCACCCCCGACCAGTAGCCTCTCGAAGCTGTGAACCTAGAGACCGTTTCAAGCTGGGACCCAACGTTACCCCAAAGCCTTGTCATTTCCAGCTCAGACCCAGCAGGAAGAGCGCCCGTATCTGTGGGCCGAGACCCCCGGGAGTCCCCCAGGCACTTGGGCCCTCCTTCCCCCCGGGGGCGCTCAGCGCAGGGAGCCGGACGTCCACCCAAGCACCGCTCTGTAGCTCACCGTGCTGCGGGCAAGGCCTGGGCATTCTGGCGCACTGGGAAACCCCAGCAGTGTTCCAAGGCAGGGATGACAGCGTGTTCTTTTATTTTTAAAGTTGACTGTGGCTGTTGTTTTGAGAATGGGCCTAATAATTAGGCAGCCTTTGTCAGAGGAGCTGATTTGAAGACCTTTTTAGAGAGAAATAAAAAATAAATCGCATTCAACAGTATGCCACAGAAAATCAAGTCTTGTTAAGCCGGGGATCTGCTTGACAAAGGAAGCGAAACTTCTACAAAGGAAACTATGTCAAGTTAATAGAAACAGGAGACGCAAAGGTACGGAAACAGCCCCTTGTGGCGATGGGGGATCGATAGTGTCCGCGTGACGGTCCTGCCCAACACACTGCAGAGTCTGAGGCCCGGGACATTTTTAGGGATGCAGTTGAAATGTCTATGGTGTGACAATAATAATGATGATGATAATAAAGCCCCGCATGGCCAAAGTCATCCTAGGAGAAGAGAAGCCGGGAGGCTTGTATTTCTCCGGCTTTGAAATATACTCTGAAGCTGCGGCAGTCAAGCAGTAAGAGAATCACCCGGTGTGGAACCAGACACGAGGCAGACTCTAGGGCCAGCGGGGCAGAACCGAGAGCCCAGAGACAGACGCTCAGGCAACAGCTGTTTCTGTTGCTGTTTTGTGTGGGTCACACCCAGCACTGCCCAGGGCTCCCTCCTGGCTCTGTGCTCAGAAATCTCTCCTGACTGTGCTCGGGGGACCCTGTGGGCTGCCGGGGCTGGAGCCAGGCGGCTGGTGCCGGCAGGCGCCCTGCCCGTGAGGCTGGTGCTCTGGCCCCACAAAGGAGCTTAGAGTATGAAGTTTCAGCCCTGGAGCAGGGGGTACTGGTGGGGCTTTTTGTGCCATGAAGCCTTATCATTCACAGTACTGTAAATCACAGTGCCTGTTACAGGTAAAGGAAAAACAGTAAAACTCTAAAAGTAGAGTGTGAAGTGGGCCAAGGAAAGCCTCTTCAGTAAAAAGTGCTGGAAAACTGTCAGAGACGCGAGACAAACACAAAAGGAGCTTAGGAAGCTCACCGATTGCACACCCCTGCCGGGGGCAAGCCCTGAGCATCACCGGGTCAGCCCGAGACCACAAATAAAAAGTAGGAAGAAGTTACTGGGCAGACAGGGGCAGAGGTGGGCCTGCGAGGAGGCCGTGCTCTGCACCAGGCAAGCGTCCAGAGCCAGAGTTGGCACGAGCTAGCATGGATAGACGGACAGACTCAGAGGCTGGAAGGTGGCGCCTGGCAGCTCGGGCAACACCCCTCTTCCAGGGCAGCCACTGGAGGCGTCTACACCGGCTTCTCCCTGCCCTGCTAAGCATCCGCTGTTCCCACGAGCATGATGCCAGATACGTTGTGTTGGAAACCTCAGGAACTATTCTGTCATTTCAACATTTGATGTTTCAGTGTCATTATGTATATACAGACTATACAGGTATTCCCACGGTATAATCTGATTATTTCAAGGCAGTTGATCACGATATTTAAATTGTCACTGTCACTGTCACTGTCCTCCCATTGTTCATCGATTTGCTCGAGCGGGCCCAGTAATGTCTCCATTGGACACTTTGTTGTTACTGTGTTTGGCATATTGAATATGTCACGGGGAGCTTGCCAGGCTCTGCCATGCGGGCGAGATACCCACAGTAGCTTGCCAGGCTCTCCGAGAGGGGCAGAGGAATCGAACTCGGGTCGGCCAGGTTGGCCGCGTAAAAATTTAAATCATACTCTATAAAAGTATACTTCACAGCTGTGCCCATACACATTTAACATGAATATACGTTTGTCCGTAGAGTCCAATGTATATTAACACCATGGCTTAACAACGTGGGAGCTTTAATTTTACCGTATTTAATGATGGTTTTTTTCCCTTTTATTCCAAGTACCAGGACACAAACATGCAGGGAGTTGTCTACGAGCTGAACAGCTACATCGAGCAGCGGCTGGACACGGGCGGGGACAACCAGCTGCTCCTCTATGAGCTCAGCAGCATCATCAAAATCGGTGAGTGGGGGAGGGGTTCTCCGCAGGGCAGCAGCGCGCCAAGCGCTCGTTTGCATCTGCAGTGAAAATATTTTGTCCTGAGACTACCACGATGAGGCCAACCCAGATACTCCTAATTCTGAAAAGGCATAACTGCATGTCATGGTGATTCAATTAAAAGAACAGTAAAACGAAGTCATTTTAAAAAGAGAAAAAAAATCACTACCTGCTATCTTCACGGAGTAGACTGTTAGCCTACTTGGAGGAAGATGCAGTTTCAGTAAACGCAGTCAGAGCTTTATTGAGGGAATCAGTAATCATTAAGGAAGGAAAAAAATCTTAAATTGATTTAGGAAGATGTCATTGTCTCTCCAGTCTCGCCACTGCCCAGGAGAAGTGGGGGAGGCCGTGGCCGCGGCTGCTGGCAACTGCCTGGTGCAGGGAGGAGCTCAGGGGCCTCCAGGACTCGGCGTCCAGTGCTGAGGCCGTTGGCCCGAGTGAGGGCCCTGCTGCCGAGTCAGGCTCCCCACGGGACCCATGGTCTCTCTCGGTCCATGATGATCTTGGTTATTTGCTATTTTGAATATGGCTTCGGATCTTTTAAAACACTTTTTACAAATGACGCAATGCTCCTATTTCAAAATGGTTTTGCCGTGACTCTGTTATTTGAAGTTTGACGATGTGTGATTAAGTAGCACACGGCCATGGGAGGGGTTTGGATTCCTTAAAGGCTTCTTACATTGTACATCTTAAAATTTAAATTTCACATCTTAAAATTTTCAGCAGCTGACAGAAAAAAAAAAAGATCCACTAGTATGAGCTTGAGAAGGGCTGCAGGTGGTCGGGCTCCACTCACCGCACGCCCGTTAATCGCCCAGCGAATCTCCTCATGTCTGTGGTTTCGCCGTAGAGGGTTCAGCGGCTGTAACTCACCCATAGAGATTCATTTCTTCTCTTTTACATGGTGCCGGCAGCCACAAAGGCCGATGGATTTGCCCTGTATTTCCTTGGAGAGTGCAATAACGTAAGTATGTAACTTTCATTTCTCGGTGCTCTGGATAAGAAAAGCAAGCCCCCGCCCAGCCCCCAGCCCCCAAGTAGTCAGCTGTGTCGGGCGAGACGAGCAGCAGGTTGTCGTAATGGGGCGTGAAACATCAGTCCGTGGTCCTGGGGAGTTCCCACCGCCAGGGACGTCCCCGCACGGCCACGTCTCGGCTGCTCACTGCTCATGGCTGGCTTCAGCCCGGCGTGCATGGTCTGGGCCGTGACAGGTCTCTGCATGCAGCATGGCACACGCTCCTCCTCTACGCCGGGATGAAGGGGCGGGAGCATCTGTCTGGATGTCGGGCTGCAGGCGCCCTGTGCCCGGCAGGGAGGGTTAGGGGGTTAGGGAGGGCGTGGCCGGGGGCCAGCGTCCGGGTTCTGATGCCAGGATGCGCCAGCTTCTGGGTTGCTCCAGCCTTCCCGAGCAGGCCTCACCCTGTCCTGCTGTCCCCGAGCCAGCTGCTGGCACAGGGTGCTCCCCCAGCCCATGCCTAGTGCTCCCCCGGCCGGTGCTTAGTGCTCCCCCAGCCCATGCCCAGTGACCCCCCCAGCCCGTGCCCAGTGCTCCCTGCACCCATGCCTAGTTTTCTCCCCAGCCCTTGCTCAGTGCTCCCCTCAGCCCATGCCCGGTGCTCCCCCTGCCCGTGTCCAGTGTTCTCCCTGCCCGTGCTCAGTGCTCCCCCAGTCCATTCACAGTGCTCTCCCTGCCCATGCTCAGTGCTCCCCCAGCAGGCCCGCTGACAGGGCAGGATGGAGGCAGGGGCTTCTGTCTGGTATCTGATGGTGTCATACTGAAAGCAGCCCACCCATCTCAGAGTGGTCTGAGAGCCCGTCACATCTGCATCTTGGATCAGACAGACAGGCCCTGTGAGCCGCCCGCCCACCCGCCTCCCAAGTGCCGCCACTGCTCACTGTGGACACGGGCTGTCCTGAACTGGCCACTCTGTTGGGGCGGAACAGGTGCCCTTCTGCCTGGTAGAATGGCAGCAGGGCACAAGCATAGGGGGGTCCCCTCTGCTCCCAGAATGCTAGAGCAGCGGCACCCAGAGTCCCAGTGACGCCCCCTCCCGACACTGGCTCTGCGTCCCCATGACCTCTGCTGCGCTCCCTGGAAACAGTCAGACTCGGGCGCTCCTGAAGCGAAGTTCTCAGGTGTTACTGGGCTTCAGAATACTCTGAGTTCTCCTTTGCTCACTGGTAGTAGTTTAAATGACTAAGCTATTAAAACAACCTCTCTGTCATAGTCTTGAATTTAAAAAAAAAGTTATTTTGGCAATTTGGGACTTTTGTTTCAAAAAAGTCAAGAATTTCCTTTAGAAGATCATTCCCAGCCCTACAGGCACGGTGGTTACAGTTTAATCGGTGCACGTTAGCTCAGCGTGACTCCCAGCTCCTCACGCCTGATCTGGGATCTTCAGATTAAAAAAAACAAAACAAATTCTGGGCTCTCTAGAGTTGTGATTGAGTTTCGATAATCCTTTTTTTTTTCCCCTTTTCTGGTCATTTGGCCGATTTTTCTCTTTATGTTTGGAAGACTTCTTTATAGTTGATCTTAGCAAAATAACTTCCTTGAATCAGCGATGTAGAAAAAGCTTTGGTACCTGTAGTAGCGGAGCTGTGATTCTGTATACGTCAATTCTAGCTCTCGCGTTTCTCTCGGGCTTTCGTTACCTAATTAGGGGCTGATATCATCCCCCTTCTGACTTCTCATTCTCAACTCCTAAGGTCAGTTAATTTCGTGTTCATGAAGTGTCTTTCCCTTGCTAAAATAATCACTTCGCTTTGTTGTTCACATCTTCATGCATCTTAGCTCTTTTTTTGAAATCATTTCTCTTTCCCCCTACATACTTTTCTTTGACTGGTACCTTTGTGGGCTCGAGAATTCAGCTGGATGAATATGATCTGTCTCTCTACTATTGCGTGGTTACTTCTTTCCTTCTTTCAGACTTTGCCTCTCAGTCCGTCATCAAAGACATTTTTTTCCCTGGGAGTGTTTCCCAGTTTTTTCCGTGTTTCTTGATGTACGTGGCCCTGGCCTTAGATCGCTCCCTCCTCTTTCGGGCGTGGCCTTGAGCACTGGTGTCCTTGCCTGTCACCCACAGAGCCTGCTTGGCTCCCGAGTCCCTGCGACTTGGCCGTCTCTCAGTGAGCCCCTGGGCCTTCATAAATGCACCCATTGGAGACTTGCGTGGATGAAGATGCGTGGATGAGAGGACAGACGCTTGTCCTTCCCGCCTGCCCGAGGTACTCTCAGTCCTAGTTTAGTAAATGAGCTAATTGATGCTCAAGTCCCCGTGATGGGATTTCTGGAAGGAGATTTTAATTTTCCCTGCAGGAGTAGATTCAAGGTAATTTGATTTCTCTGTCCCCCTCATTGTGTGATGCATGTGTCCTTCAGCCTGAGCTGAGGGGGGCCTTTCTCTGGGCCTGTCCTGTGCAGGGACGCCTTGTTGCTCTTGCCTGAAAGAGGGGCCCCAGGTGGAGGCTTCTCTCTGGGCGGGCGGGATCCAGGGGCCTGGCTCTGTCTCTGGGCGGGGGAAGGGGAGGACCAGGGGCCTGGGCTCTCCCTCTGGGCGGGGACTAGGAGCCTGCCTCTGTCTCCAGGCGGGATCAGTGCCCAGCTTTCCCTCTGGGCAGGGACCAGGACCCCGGGCTCTGTCTCCGGGCAGGATCGGGACCCGGTTCTCCCTCTGGGCAGGCCTCCCTGTGCTCAGGCCTGCTTGGGAATCTCCAGGAAAACTGAGCGCCTTTGGCACTTGCTTGCTAGAGGGTGCCTTGGTTAACGTCCTTTTGCACTTCTGTGTGTTCTTTCTAGCTTGAATGCACAGCAATCTATTCTAACAGGTTTGTAAACTATATTCTACCCAGTCTCTAAAGAATGTTAAGTTGGTTTATTTTTCAGGCATCTCAAATTCTCTATCTGCCATATTGCTTGCAAAAGATGTTGACATGCTTCTAAGATGTAAGCTATCTATATTAAATAAAATAAACAGAGGAAGTGCATGTATGTTTTCTTAGGTGTTCCTTTGCACAGGAAAGGTAGCATCTTTTAGAGATTTATTGATGATTTTTTAATTGTCTGGATTTTGAGTCATGGCTAGTAAGCTTTTTTAAATAACGTAAGCACTGTCCTCCTGTTGTTCATTGAGTTACTCGAGTGGGCCCAGTAACGTCTCCATTGTGAGACTTGTTGTTATTGTGTTTGGCATATTGAATACGTCACGGGGAGCTTGCCAGGCTTTGCGAACAAAAAGAGAAAAGAGAAGAGGAAGGTCTTGAAGAAAGAAAAGCTCTTAAAAAAATTAAAGAACTTACATGTTCTTATTCTAAAATTGCTCAGAACCTTTGTAAGTTTCATGTTTCATTTTCTTTGATTTTTTATTTTAATGTTATTTTGTGTGCCATCCTTGCGCAGGGCTGGAGCGATAGCACAGCGCTAGGGCATCTGTCTTGCACAACTTATAGTAATACAATAAAAAACATAACAATTTAGTCGATTTCAAAAATGTCAAGGCTATAGATGGCAGAATTGTCAGCTTCTTAGGAAGTGCTCTTTTCCCTTTGTCATGGATGAGAGCAGAGGAAGTGATTGATAGTCAGTGCACTGGAGAGTAATTCCCATATGGTTCGAAGGTGTGGAAGGTTCTCAGCAGTGGGAAGCTCGTTCAGTGTGAGTGAGAGGAAGACCTGAGAGGCCGCGGGCTCAGCCCCACTGCGCTGGCCAGGCCCCTGCTGCTCCATCCCGCACCTGACCAGCCTGACCACCCTGCCCAACCTGACCACATGGCACAAAACTTACCAGCCTGGCCACACTCCGCCAAGGGAGACAGAGGCCAAGGGAGTGGGAGGAAGAGCAGACTCAGAGGAGGTAGGAAGGTTAGGACTCATGAAAATATGTCACAAGACAAGTAGAAATGGCCCATCTATTTTAAGAAACAAGCTTTCATTTGGTGAAAAAAAACACATTGCTTCCTATTGTATAGAAACGCATATAAATGAAAAGTTGTTCAGGAGTTGATTGCAATATAAAAAGAAAAATTTTATATTTTTATTATTAAATTTGATTTTATTCTATTGATAAAATCAATTTCTTTAATTAATTAATTTCAACAATTTATTAAAATCAAATAATTTAATCAATTAATAAATTTCTTTATATTTAATTATTAATACTTTAATTTTGTCAATTGTGTCACTGTCCTCCCGTTGTTCATTGACTTGCTCGCGCGGGCCCAGTAATATCTCCATTGTGACAATTGTTACTGTGTTTGACAAATGGAATACCTCACGGGAGCTTGCCAGGCTCTGCCGTGCGGGCGAGATACTCTCGGTAGCTTGCTGGGCTCTCTGAGAGGGGCGGAGGAATCGAACTTGGGTCGGCCATGTTGGCTGCATGCAAGGCAAACACCCTACTGCTGTGCTATCACTCCAGCCCTTTGTCAATTAATAAAATTAATTTTATTGATCAGTAATCAATAATTAAATAGAGAGTGTATTAGAAAATGCACTGCACTGTAGCACTGTCCTCCCATTGTTCATCGAGTTGCTCAAGCGAGCACAGTATCGTCTTCATTGTGGGACTCGTTAGTGTGTCTGGCATCTCGAATACATCACGGGGAGCTTGCCAGGCTTTGCCGTACGGGCGAGATTCTCTCGGTAGCTTGCCGGGCTCTCCAAGAGGGGCAGAGGAATGGAACCGGGGTCAGCTAGGTTGGCCGCATGCAAGGCAAATGCCCTACCTGCTGTGCTATCGCTCCAGCCCTAAATGATGAAAAATTTGATGAATTAATAAAAATGTTTTATTTTTAAATTTTAAGTTTTAGTTTTTTAATAAAATTAATCCTTTTATTAATCAACAATAATTTATTAAAATTTAAATAAATAATGAAATTGAATGAATTAATGCAATTTATATTTTTAATTATTAATTTTTAATTTTTCTCTTGAGGGTTGGGGTGGGATTCCAACACAGAAGGGCCC